ATTCTGTTTTATCGCCAAAAGTCTACCTGAAAAAACCTAAAAGCCTGGTATTACAAAGATGACTAGCGAAACGTCAAGTGTGTAACATTTTTGAAAAAATTATTTTAAGTTTCATTGAAATTTCAGGCTCTATCGAAATATGCAGGAATATACAGTGTCTCATTTAAAAAATATTTTTTCATCAATAACTATTGATATCCCATTTGGAAAAATGAGTTTCTCATATCATTGAATTCTTCGTGAAAAAGTTCTTTGGAAATGTCTTCATTGAAACAAGGAATTTTGGACAGGAAAAAAGTTCCGGCATCTTTTCGATAATGCACATTTTCGAAAAACATGCTATCTAGTTTGAAAACAGGAGTTTCCCTTTAAAAGGGTCCAATTCAGCCCACTCTGTACATGTCAGAAGGATGGTTCGAAAAGTTGTTATCAGAAGTCACCTCTCTTTCATCATATCGAGCGAAAGATGCAATACTTTTTGGTTCTTGTGTTCAAAAGGAGAATCTCGGATGTTTTCTTATCTCACAAGAGGGGAAATGTGTCATCTGAAAGATGCGTTTCTGGGTAACGGAAATAACTACCAATGGAAGAACGTGTCAGCCCTACGTAAGCGGTTTGACGTACCGAATTCATAGGATCCTCAAAACACATGGATTTAAGGCCATTTCAAACCCACAAGAAAGACAGAGAATAGTCTCAGGTCAGCAACAGCACCGTATAGAAGTAAACACAAGTAAGTTCACTCTTCGCCATATTTGGGTCAAGATTCCCCACCTCGAATTTTATGCGCGGCCAACCTAAAGCGCAACCGACTGAATCTGAGGCATTTACCAAGCGAGCCAAGTTGAGGCATGGAATATTATTACAGAGTGAGTCGTTGTGAGTGGTGGTTTTGTATTTGAGAAAAATTTGTGTCTAGTTTCAAAATGAACAAGTGTCGAGCTGTGGGTTGCTGTAATTTGCAGGTTGATGTTGGCAATCAATTTTTTGATTTCCGACTGACGAAAAAAGGAATGTTTTTCTTGTAGTCATTATGTAAGATAGAAGGAATGAACATATAACGAAAATCATAAAATGATAGACCATGATAGTGGGGTCATTAATATTCAAAAATGTTTTTTTTTTTGAAATTAATTTGATGAAATTGAACTCCACGAATAGTATATGCCTCAATAATATAAAATGACAAAACAATGGAAATCCATAAAGGAAAATAATTGTTGAACCACATCACGTTTTTTATTTGGCTACTATGTTTCTGTAGGAAAAAAAAATACTTGCACTGAAATCACTGCAAAACCAAAGTATCAAGTGTATATTCAAAAAACCTTTTTTTGAGCCTACTTTCCATTTATATGTACCAACTAATTTACTATAAATAGTAAATATATCTATTCTTACATTATGTCATCAATAGCAAAAAACATTAAGATTTCATTAGATTAACACACTTCATAATTAGCAAACTGAGAATTCTGTATTTTATACTGAAGTTTATATTTACAACAACCAACCCGATAATACAAAAAAGTTATTTCAGAAAAACGATTCAAAACCAAACTTAATAAACGTTCGCTAAACTACATCTTTTTTGTCTCTCATCTAATTTTGATTCAATCTATTTAATACCATTTGGTTTGATGAAATCAAGTTACACTTATTCTACAATATAGCAACGGATAAAATTGTTGGTTTTGAGGAGAAAAATGGCTTCTATAGCAGAATATGTCTTGGTAGTCATCGCAATCGAACTGGAAATAGTCTGCTGCATACTTTTTTAACAATTGATCCACATCAATACTGGATATAAAAAGTATTGTGATTGAAGCTGTTAGGCAATTATCAAAAATTGGATTAGGAATTAGGAATATCCTTTCAGATTTAGACTCTAATTTTCATAAACTTGCCAGAAAAGATCTCGAAGTGACTGTAGAGCTGCCATATCAAAACTAATAAATACAGTTTATTGTATGATTTTCACTATAGAGAGTTTTACAAAAACCATGACACGTGTTTCACTATACAATAGCTTNACCGGACACCGTGCAGTTGTGGTTCGTTCTACATCGGAAACAGCGAAAGAAGCTTTAAAACGGGCTTGACTGAGAGTAAAAGAAGTGGCCGAACAGATAAATCGGCAGTTGCATGGATACCGGCGCTTCATAACACAAATACTTTTTCAGTAATAACAGAAGGGTTCTTCAAATCATGTATGTTGCGTCTAGATTCCGTTTTATTTATGAATTTCATCACTATTTTCTATCTTACCCGCTCTTTTCATGTTACCCTTCTCACCCATTTCATCGTTAGCAGAAAATAATGGAGAATTCTAGAATATTTCCGAGTATTCTAGAATATTTATGGTTATATTCAATGGTAATAGTTCTCAGCTACTGGCCTGCCGACAGGAGCAATTTATTTTGTTTCAAAAGTAATTTTGGTTTTTACCTGTTTTCTTTCCAATTCAACCTTTCTTATGCTACTTGTTTACATTTCGTTTCATGTTTTGAACTAAAACATTTTCCTAGTTGTTATTTTTGTTATAGTTATTATTTTTGATTCACAAATTGTTGAAAATATTTCGAAAAAGTTTATTTAGTGGTAACAAGAACTGTTGTTGAATAAGGAATTATTTTTGGATTCAGCTGTTCAACTAATAGAGAAAAACTTTTTTAATTTTGCAGATCATCACCTGGTGAATAATTAGAATTTGGAAGACAAACAAAATGAAACTAATTATGGAAATAGTGAAGGCCAGAAGAAGAATACTGAGAACACAGAATATAAAATATTGGGAATTTCAGAATATTAATTTCTTCAATCAGGTTTTCAGTATGTTCATATTCGAGAGGGCAAAATTTTGAAAACAATTCAAACTGAAATTTGTCGTAACAGAAATTTGAAAATGAACGAGACGTATCAGTCAAGGACTTGAATGACAATCGTTGATGAAAGCGTTAATATGTTTACAACAAGAGTTTAGAAAGTTGCAACAATTACTGTGGTTCTATATATTGGAAGCAGAGGGAAAATCTTGCATTAAGAAGACAAAATTTGATTTCTTTAATCGAATATTTAGTATGTCCAAATACAAGAGGAACCATATTTTGTTAATCACAAAACGAAACTAATGTTTGACAAAATTGGATATGAATAATATGTTTTAGTCAAGACTTTAATGATAATCGTTGATGAAAGTGTTATCATTTCTATGACAAAAGTTTAGAAAGTTGCAACAATTACTATGGTCCTATGTATTGGAAGCTGAAGGAAAATCTAATGTTGAGAAAACAAAATATAAAATGTTGGAGATTTCAGAACATTTTCAGTATGTTCATATTTGAGAGGACAAAAATTTGAAAACAATTCAAACTGAAATTTGTAGTAACAGAAGTTTGAAAATGATACGTATCAGTCAAGGACTTGAACGACAATCATTGATGAAAGTGTTAACATGTTCATAAGTAGAGTTCAGAAACTTGCGACAGTAACTGTGGTTCTATATTTTGGAAGCCGAAGGACAATCTAATGTTGTGAAAACAAAATATAAAATGTTGGAGGTTTCAGAACATTGATTTTTTCAATCGGATGTTTAGTATGTCCAAATACAAAAGGAACAAAATTTTTCAATTTCAAACCAAAACTAATGGATAATAAAATTGGATATGAATAATATGTTCCAGTCAAAACTTCAATGATAATCGTTTTTGGTGAAAATTAAATAAAAACAAATTGATATTTCGTGTCCTGAAATGAAAACGAGTCTCAAAACTACATTGAGTACAGATCATATATTTATCATACAGCTCTGCACCAACTGAAGGCGTGTCAACTGAGGAATGCAATTTCTCCATGCAATTGAAACAGCATGGAGATTCATTTTTTGAATAGTATACCCGAAAATTTATATAGAACTCTTCATTACCATCCTCGGACACTGAGTATTGTGTAAAGTGATGAATTCTGATAGCATTTTTATCATATCATGTGAAATACTTTCCACAGGACATTGATTGATTTGTTGGCTATCAAATTCCAAAACAAAATTAATGAAATAGAAAAGGTAGGTTAACAAACTAGAACGCCATTTCGGAGAAGAAGATGTTCATATTACAAGGAGTACTGATGTTTCTAAATCACAATCAGAACAATCAAGAATAGTGCTTCGAGAAAAATAGTTATTTGCCTGATTTTCAGACCAAACCCGACAAACTGCTACGAGTGTCTGTGAAAGCGAAATGGATTTAAAAATTTGTCCCTTTCCAATAAAAACATCTCAACGGTTTTCCTGCATCTCTGTGAAAAATCACTGTGATATATTCATATGACATTTATGCCGAAACATGTATGGAAGAATTGTAACATTATTACAGTGATCCACACGTTTGTTTTTCAAAAATTCAGCCTAATTTCATTTAACATGAATATGTTTCTCGAGTAACTCAATGAAAAGTACGGATTAATCAACATTTTTATGTTTTACGTTTAGGTGGTAATACTTATCAACAGTTCAGTCAGCAGGATACCAGGAAATGGCTAACAAGTCCGAGTTCTCTGATTCCATCGAGAAAACCTCCCGAAAGAATCGCATCGAATTAACGGAAGTTAACTGTCCAGTTTCATCCGATAAAGAAGATGATGATCACATTATTCTAAAACTGGACGAGAAAATCGAATCAGGTGCAGATTTTGGTGAGATTAGTGTTTACTTGTGAAGTACTTGATAGGAAGAAACAAAATCGTTTGTTATAGATACTACAAAGGGCACCAAAACCAAGATAGTGGAAAGGGTTAAGAAGATAGATCTTGAGGAAGGGGAAGTTATTTCAGAAAGAACAGCTGACACTAACGTGGATTGTCTTTCTGGGAAAAATAAACCTAACGGAAGAAAGCTCAGCAAGAATTCTCCAAACACGGAAGGCAGTAAAACTTCAGGGACATCCCAGAAAGTTCCAGATCAATCTCTCAATAAAGTTCGAATTGTGTCGAATCATATTTGGGTATCTAATATCCACCGGAATGTTAAAGCAGCTGATCTAAAAGCATTTTTTGGGAAGATTTCTAAAGTTTCTAAAGCGAAAATTCTGACAAACGGAAAACATTTTTACGGTTATATCACTATGGAAAACGAAGCAGATGCATCTAAATGTATACGTCAATTAAACAATAGTGAGTTTGAGGGCCACACAATTGTAGTTACTAAAAATCGTCCTGATATGAGAGATGCCAAAGTTGCAGTAAAAAAAGCTGAAGTAACAAAGATTAAAGTAGAGAAAGAGGATAAGAAAGAGAACAAGGTTCTATTATCAAATATTTCTCCTGGAACATCTTTCATGGGTACGAACACCAAGGAAAAACAGTCCGACCAAGAAAATGATCCCGATGTGATATCAATTTCCTCCGATAAGATATCCGACACCAGAGATTCTGCTGAACCGCCAATGAAACTGCCAGGGAAAATAATGGCAAAATCAAACGATATTCGCGGACGGGATGATCAATTCAAAAAGGAGAAGAAGGAGCGGGCCCCTTTGACAACTTTGGATGCGAGAAATTCGGCTTATAATGTTGAACAGACGAGAACAATAAATGATCTGAGAAAGAAGATAAAACTGCTTTTTTGTGAAAATGACGATTTGAAGCATAAACTTGATGATTATCAGCAACGCTACGCTGCTATGCGTAATAGGTGCACGAACTTGGAAAAAGATTTGAAGAGATCACGGTTGGAAAACCGCGAAGATCGTCAACGCTTCAACGAAGAAAAAGAAAGTTTCGAAAAGAAGAAGAAATCCGAACTAGCTCGAATTGAGGCTGATAGGGCAGCCGTTCTTAAAGAACTCGCAGAGAATAGAAAACTCAAAGATCAACTCAAATCCAAAGTGGAAGAGCTTCGAGCTGCTCACGCGAAAGTGTCAAAGAGAAGTCGATCCCCGGCGCCTAGAAATGCACGCAGTCCTTTCCCGATGAGAAGTAGCTCAAGTAGTCATTTTAGAGGCGAGAGACAAGAGAAAAGACCAAGGTATGATGAAGTGTCTCGAGTCAGAACTCCGTCTCCTCCCAAGTACATGGCAGATGCTGGAAGGAAGAGAAATAATGAAAATGTTCAAATTTTCTACAGCGAATCAGTCAAGCGACCATCTGCTGTGGAGCATCAATTCGATTATAGACGCAAAACTTTGGTGAGACCTTCTGAAGAAACTGCTAAAAATGAGTGGACAGGTTATTTCCAGAAAGAACCACGACGCAGCAATGCAATTCCTGCTTATTCGGGCAATAGTAGATATGGTGCTGGATTTCCACAGACAGGTTCAAATATCAGCGTGCCTCTCAGAGGTCCCCATAATGCTCATTACTTCCCACAGTGGTGAATTTGCTATTTATTCTTGTTCGTTTGCAGTTTGATTATTTTTGAGAGTTTTATATTTTTTTGCGTTTCACTTTGGAATTTTCTTGGGATCTAGTTGAATATTCCGTTTCGATTAAATATTGTCAGATATAATTTGAAATATATCTTAAATTGAATCAGAATATGCCTTTAAATTCATTCCCAACTGTAAGTATTTTTATTTTTACAGAGATTTTCCATTAGGAGATGGAGAAATGTAGCGTAATGTCAGCCCAAGCATAACGTATATCAGTATTGGAGAAATATTTATATGATTCAGTTAGGTTATCAATATAATTCATGTGATATACAGTGCAACCTTGATATAACGAAACTGAACGGACTCCGAAAATGATTCGTTATATCAAGTAATTTGTTACAATGAGGCTCGTTATTAATCTCAACTGAACGTAAGTATTATTATTCCAAGAGACAGTGGCCGGCTACCGTATAGAAGTAATCATAAGTAAAATCACTCCCGGTCGGCGTCATTGATGTATCTGGTCGAGATTTTATTTTTTGCTGGCATGTGGCGGTGCGGGAGGGTGTAGGATGAGAGCTGTTGTGCACCTCTTCACGAGGTTCGATAAAAAAATATGTGACCATGATCAGACTCCATCATTGCTACGAGGAACTCACAATAAATATCTCATATGATTTTGAACTGTTTAGGAATTGATAAAAAATGAGACAAGATGATGAAATAAACGTATATTTTGTAAAGTAAGATTATACAATTTAGGTCAAAAACTTATGCTAATCTATTCTAAAGGTTTTTCAGAATG